TCAGGTAAAATGAAGGAAAATGGGTAGTTTATCAAAACTTATTTCAACTTGTTTTATTAAATATGTAATATTTCTATTTGTGTTTATTAAAATGTTTGCTGATGTGTGCTGACTGGTGTCTAATTGTACCAAGTAATTAATATTTGCTGCAAAAATTTACGTTACTTCTGCAACCAATGTTTTGTTGTGTTCTTGAAGGTGATGAAGAAAAACAAGCGGGAGCGGGACGATGACAGCATGCGCCACGGTGACCAATATGACACCCAGCTGCTGTGGTTCCTGATGAGACACATGAGGAACAGGAGACCACCGAGGGTGAGCTCATGAAGATATGAATGTGCACATATGAACATTAGTACAGTTTCGCAACATAAAAAATAAAAAAAACCTAGCTTTTAAAATTTGGTCCACTAGAATCTTAACAAATCAGACTTCTTAAGAGATGCAGCTTTAAATCTGATTGGCTTGTGCTGTGATGAACAGATGAAACAAGAAGTTAGCAACCAAGTGGAGCATCTCTAGTGATATAGAATAAATATATAATTATTTTCATTTTTTTTGCCACACTGTGTGGTTTAGCCTACATTTCCTGAAAATCCCTTTCTGATAGAAACATAAATGTGTAAATTAAAGGATAATTTTGACAAATAAATATTTTGAAAATAGCATTTGATATTTAAGCTGGTCTTAGTAGATGAGATAAAATCCTGATGTAAATCCTGAACTTCAGCATAACTAAGAAAAAAAATCATTCCACAAGCCATTTAAAGTCCACTGAAGGTTTTCTGTTTGTGTGAAAAATAAATAAATTAAGACAGATGTGCTTTCAGAAGAATATTAACTTACAAAGTGGGTTTTTAACTGGCAGCGTTGTTGAAAACTATATATTTTTATATAAAAATGTCAAGTTTTAAAATATTTGTCAGACAGCTGGTTGAAAAGATTAATATTTCTACCCTAATAATCCCATTCACGCTTTCTATCCAGACTCGCCGCGAAGGAGCAGACGAGGACACTGATGAGTCCTGGAGCTCTCCAGACTCCTCCGATGAGGAGGAAGGAGGTCCCGACCACGTCCAGTGCATGTCGTCTTGAGCTCCACACACAGACATACTCGTGCACACATACATATAGAAACATAACACACCTCATCGCCCTTGAAGTGATGCACATGAGCAATCGTTGAGACACTGATGAGCCACTGACTCTTCCACAAAAACAGATCAACATTTATGTAAACAAACTGTTGAAGCGGAGCCGTTTGGCTCCTGGTTTCCTAGTGACGAGTGTGCAACTGGAGACTGCAACACTTCCAGAATTATTTTTCTTTCTTCTTCTTGACATGTGCACAGAGGTTTGGCGAGCACTTCTTTTAAAACCATGTGGAGGCCCCTGCTTGCCCCCCCATGCATTCTTGTTCTTTTCATAGACCTGGAAAGCGCGTATGGCAGCGAGTACCTCCACGTTTAGGCAATCTGTAGTGAGCTTTAAATCACCAGCAGACCGTCTCTTTGTTGTTGGTACCTTTTCAACCAGTGTGGATGAAGAAGGGTTCAGCAGCGAGGAAGGGTGTAGGCTTGTCTCCTCAAACTGTCCCCCAGTATGTGACTCCCTTTAAGATTTGGAATGTGTGCGGGAAAGCCTAGAGCTCCTCGCTGCTTTGCCCCAGCTACGTTTTTTTTTTTTTTTTGAGCAACTTGAGACAGCATTTTTTTTTACAGTCGTGATCCCCGAGAATCTACATGCTGCATCGTCCCACGTTCTTTCCGTCTTTACTGCGCACACTTTGAATCAGGGATGCTTTAGTGCGGGACAAAGTGTGCACCGCGTTCAATGTCGAGGGAAGAGCTGTTGTATTTATCACAAAATTCAGAAGCTTATCAGAAAAACTTTAACGTTTTGTTTGTTTGTGGAGACCGGAGATATTTTGGCCTGGAGTGTTCGACTGAGGAGTGGCGTCCTTTGTTTCCACCTGCCTGTCCTGCTTGTACTTCCTTTCTCCTTTCTGTTTAAAAACCCATTTTTGACAGAAACTGTTCTGTTCAGCTCTTGGCGAACGTGAAATTAAGAAGTAGATGGGAAATGATTGATCATCAGCTCTGTTTGGGGTCAGACCTGACTTGGATCAAATCACATTTCAAACGCTGCCTTTGAGCCAGGAAAGATCAGAATAATCTGGTGTTTGACGTACTTTGGATTATTCACTTATTTGCCACAAGTTTGTTGGCAATGAAACAAACGCATCTAAAATATTTTACATTTTTGAGACGATCCCTTGAGCCAGGTTGGGGTTTTACAACCGACACCTGATTCTGTCTGTGCTGAGCGCTGGCTAAATGATGGAAGCAGCGAGCAGCAGGGTCAATATCTCTTCTTTTTGTGTGTGTGTGTGTGAGAGAGAGCGATAAAGTCCAGTTTCTCATATACAATGAGAACTGTAGTTAGTTGAATTTATATGTACATATATAAATATATATTAGAACTGTAAAGAAAATAGCAGATGCTGTTTGACTTCAGAAGAAAAGGACGTCAACACATTTGATGGGTATTGATGCAGAGATTTATATTCTATACTGTACATGGACAAAGAACTTTTAGAATCCAGAGGGGAGGAAAAAGTTGACTTGTCCATTTCTGTTTGGGTTTTCTTGACATCTCTGTCATGTCGGTTCTTACACTGATTCCATTTCTTGTTCAAGATTTAAAAGTTTCCTTTAAAGATCCCGATCCGTAATTTGAAACCATTACATCCAGGTGGCTATTTTTCACATCTTGCATACATAACAATAAAGGCTTTTGATCAACTGTTTCCCCCCCCCTTCACTGCCTAATATTGCATTCTACCAGTTCACTTGGAAATATGTACAATTTGTGCAATAAACAAAAAGAAGGCTCTCGCTGTCGTCATGTTGTTCTCAGTCTGGTTTGTCGTAACATGAAATAGTTAATTTCAGTTACATTATTACCTTTAAATGTTTTTTTTAATTAGCTGAGGAGGATTTAAAGTATCACTAATTCATGAGTTTCTTTAACGTATAGATGACGCAAAATTTTTAACGAGTCCTTGAAACAACTGATTACTGTGACGGCACAAGATGAAAAACGTTTTTTGTTTTTTTTTGATGAAAATGAACCCTGTTTATAAAATCAGATCCATTTAACTGTTTGAATGCCTCAAATAAGACGTGAAACAAGTGTTGCTGATTGTTTTGGTTTCTTCAGTTTGTCTCTCGTAGTTGATTCTCTTGTAGAAGTTTAATGGTTCTACTTCCTACTAAATGCTTAAGAATTGTGCAAGAAAAGCAATGCAGTGAAATGTTACCGTCCACACCTGTTGCCAAATCTTTGCATGAGTTTGCTCGCTGTGGCGACCATTGGAAAAAAAATATATATATAAAATATACATATATATATACAGTAGTCCCTCGCTACTGCACGGTTCGTTTTTCGTTGACTCGCTCTTTTTCAGATTAAGATTGTACTTGACACAGTTGGCTGATTGATGCATGAGTTGCACGATTGGCATGGATTTATTTAAAATAAATTGAAAATGATTCAGCACCTGCTGCACCAGCGTGCAGCCCACAGCTGAAGAAGCCTCCTGGTGTCATGTCTGCACTGCAGCGGAGAAGTGGGCGCGGCTGAGCGCGCTGGCTGACGGCAGCCGGAGGAAAAGAGCTGAAATCATGACATTATGTGCTTTTTTTTTTTAAGAGCGTTTAGAAACATTGTTTAGAATATTGCAAGAGTGGGAAGGGTTTAAAACCTCTTTATATATCAGATAGGTGAGTGATGAAGAGGTTAGAGAAGATGGGCCTGTGATCAGAAAGTCGCAGGTTCAACTCCCCGGACTGACATCAAAATGTGGGTGGAAGGGGCGAGGCACCCACGCCTGCCTCCACCCTCATTTGCCCCACTCTGGGCCCTTGAGCAAGGCCTTTGACCCCCATCATTTGCTCCCAAAAACATCTCTTGAAAATGAGTTCCCGTTACTCGAAATTACCTGTATAAAGCGTAAAATAATAAACGTGTGTGTGTGTTTGTGTATACATATATATATATATATATATATACTAAACCACTACTTGCTACTTGTACTATTATTCCTAGTTTGCGGTTTTTCCACTTATCGTGGGGCTTCAGGGTACGGATCACCTGCGATAAACGACTACTGTATATGGTGTATAGCTACACTTTTAAACATTTTAATAAAACTACATACCAGTCAGGATGTTTTCTATCCCATTGGGAGCTACAAGTTCAGCCAAATGACTAATTCAGCTGGATAATCATATAAACAAGAATTTTTTGGAAACATTTTTATTAACAGTCTGGGTAAAAACTCAAACTTGTGCTGGCTGTGACAAAACCTTTAATCAGATCCCGACCAGTCACGTCTAACCTGTGCCTGAATGACATCACAGCCTCGTCTTGTAAAAAACATTCTCAGCAAGTTACACAAGTCGGACTGAACAGAATTCAGACAATTGACCAGAATGTTCAGAGAAAAACTAGATTCATGAAAACAGATTGTAGACACCTGCGAAACTAGACATCACAACAAAAACAGACTCCTCTCGTTCATTATACAAAATAAAATGTGAAAACGGAAGGAAATGGCACAAGTAGCCCTTTACATATTACAATTTAAAAAGTCTATTTGGATCCAATTTTCAAAAGCCAATACTTCTGAGAGAGGGAGAACTGTTGGAACCGAATCCCAGAAGGCTCTTGTAGTCCATCACGTCGGCAAGTTGTACTTCCTGTTCATGCTCCATGCCAAATACAATCCACAACATGGCAGACCAGGAATAAAAAGGGGCACTACTTTCTTTTAGTTCGTGTGTTCAAACACGCAAACAAGAAACTGATGGAACTGAAGCCGAGGTACAGAGTCTTATTCCTTGTTCTCCAAAAACTGCTGCAGTCTTTTCCGGTGCTCTGCAGACAGCTCCACAGCACTGAGGAGTAAAACAAATCGGTATACTCAAGATGGGAATTACATTTCCTTATTTTAAACGATTTGAAATTCCACGCAGTCTTACTTTAAGTGATCTCCAAAGGTGGTGGTTATCCTGTAAATGGCGGTCTTGAGTGTGGCCCTGAGAGCAAAGCGCAGCGTTTTGTAGGTGGAGTCCCCCATGCTGCTGCTCGACCTGACGGGCTTACTGGAAGCATGAGGCAGCTTGAAGTGTCGGTCTACAGCCTGAAAATCAAAAGGATGCAACTGAGGCATGTGTGCATAAGATTTAAAATAAGTTACTGTATTTTTCCCCATATAGGTCGCACCTTCTTGCATTATTTATGGATTTTTTCCCCCATATTTATAAACCAATTTTTGGATGAGATCTGACCATTTTCATTCATTCTGACTGAAAAAACAAAACCATTTTCAGCCACTAGATGGCAGCAGAGTAGTAGTAGCTGTATGGCACATTGTTGTATCATGTAATAGGTAAACGTGGCTATAATGACAAATTCAAAAAAAGTTAAAAAATATAAACAACTGGACTTTATTTATTATACTTGACTTTATACTTTATTGTTTTTGAACTTTTTTTGAATTTACCATGTCCTGGATGACTGAGAATCTTCACCAGCTATTTAATGACACAATCCGCTTGCCATACACCCACCTTTGTTCTGCTCGCTGCTTGGAGCAAGTCAAACCAGCTGCACCGCCCCGGTGAAACGCAGCTAATTTGGACCATTAAAGTGCATTTATTAAGTAAAAGTTCAACTGACACACACCTTTGCTATAATTATGAGCAATCAAACAATTGTTTTTAGGTGATTATCTTGTTAACGTTCGAAAAAATGCGAGGCTCGCCCCTCTGCGTGTACCTGCAGCTTCTGCGAATCAGGTTTTGAAAAATAGATGATTTGACAATTAAAGTACATTTAAGTACAAATTAAACTGAGACACACCTTTACTATAATGTTGAGCAAACAATTCTTTTTAAGTGTTAATCTTGTTAAGTCCTCCTGTGCATGCTCCTGCGGCCACCATTTGGCAGCCTATTGATTTTTTGATACAACACCGGCCCACGATTCTGGGTGGTCAGCGGTGACTCATAATAGATGCGACTTATATGGCAAAGCGATGCATTTCTTTTCTTTTTTTTTTTTACTTTATTACACATATATTAACTGATGCGACTTATTGCGTGTGATATACGGCGTCAAGTACAGTAATTTGCTGCTGTGTAGTGATTCATTAATGCTGTTGTTATTTTAGCATTTAAATGCATCAAAGATCATAGAATCTTCCATTTTTAAAGAGACTAAATTAACAGTTTTGTGAAGTGAAAATGTTGCCGTCTGATTCAGGCTGCGCTCACGTGAATTTAAACGGATTTAAAATGGGTGGGTATTACCAAAAAATACCACGTTTTGTTAGTCTAAAACAAATCCAATGGCATGAATGATCATAAACGGAAAAAAATAAATAAAAAATAAATAACCTCGAGAAACCAAAAAAAACCGAGATGGTGTGTTTGCTCGCATCAATGTGTAAATAAATAAATAAAAGCATTTTTTGCACTTAAATTTTTTGTTTCCCGGAAAAAGGTCTTCATTCAAGTTTCATAAATTTAAAATCCATCCATTATCTTCTTCCTTTTTGGGTCGCCGGTCACTGGTGCCCATTTCCAGCCATCACTGTATGAAAGGCGGGGGACACCCTGGACAGGTCTCCAGTCCATCACAGGGACACAGAGACAAATGAGAAACAACCATTCAGTCTCTCACTCACACCTAGGGACAATTTAGAGTTACCAATCAGCCTAACATGCATGTTTTTGGTCTGTGGGAGAAAAATGGGAGTACCCACGCATGCACAGAGAGAACATGTAAACTCCACCCAGAAAGGCCCCTGGTCAGGATTTGAGCCAGGGCGACCTGCTTGCTGAGAGGCAGCAGCTCTATCAACTGTGCCACCGTGCTGCCATAAAATAAAATTACATCTGATAAAACAAAATACCAAGACTAGAATACTGCGGACACTAAAGTTCACAACAATGCATTCCATACACACCCCTGCAAAGTTGTGCAAAAACTGGATTTTGTAGTTTTGTTGGAAACTAAATGAATGACACCTTCACTGCAGAAAACAACGATTGAATACATATGAAAAGTCATGATATCAGATTATAGGCAGTTCAGTTAGATGCATGTCGAAGTGTATAAACCACAGTTAACCAGATGACTTGCCTCTTGCAAAAGCAGCATGGCGCCAAGAATGCTGGGTAATGTAGTTTGAACCACCCCAAACTGGTCTTCTGTGAATGAGGCTTGAACGAGGTAAGACAGTGCTGCAGGGCGATAAAAAAAATAATTAAAAAAAGGAAATTATGAACTTGGACTGACAAGATGTTCGACTTCAATAAAACTCGTGATCTTTTCTTACCTTCCAACGCCCAGATGTGCGCCTGACTGTCAGCAAAGAGAGCCTGACTGGAGGCTTCTGGAAGCTGCAGGACATCAAGTGAGCTGGTTAGAGTTCTCTTTAAAAGGAACCCTGACCAATAAGGCTTTTAAAATGTACTAAGACAAACACTAGCATTAGCAGTAAATTTTGTTTCTCGACAATAAAACTTGCTTTGATGGAATGTAATTTGGAAAGCAACATCAATTTTCTGCAAGGACTCCGGTTTCTGGACCTTAACCGTGTCTCAGTGTGAACCTGAAGGCAGCGTAACAAGAGCACGCATCACTGAAGACGTGACTGGATATCTAAGACCCAAAGAGTCAGGAAGGTGACAGTAGAGCACAGGAGCAGATGTTAAAGTCTAAAATATTTGTGTTTTAAGTGTTTCTGCATCTAACTGCAAACACGAAAACTTGTTTTGGTTCAATTGTTGCCTTTTGAATGAAGATTTATATCCATATCTCTTACTGAAGCCTTGTAAAGTTACAAAAACTAACAATCAATGTACCGTATTTTCTGCCATACACGTGACACCACCTTATAAGTCGAATCAGTCCAAATA